AGAGGCCAGTCCACCAATTAGAATTGCAAAATAAGAGCCAATCCAACAGAATCTTGCAAGGCAATATCTGTGCTGTCAGGATAATCTGTTTGAATTGAGACAATTGACCTGCTACCTTAGGCATCATCTGTGGAACGTGGCAAGCTAGAATCCCAGTAAAAAGAATCAACACAGATTGAGGAATGAGTAGCTTGTGAACCTTGGAGAATCTATGCATTGATATAGATGAGGAAGATCAATGACTGGACACCAATCTCCTGTCTGCATAGACCCCAACAACTGACAGGGGTAAAAACTTTGAAGAACTAGAATGACTCTCTTAGACCAACCAGACATAGATAACCCTAGAACTAAGTTCCAAATTCCAATGAACTGCAAGAGATGTAAACCCTACAGATTGGGTGGATAATAGTGGTGAAGATGTGAACTAAACAACTAATTGTGATTCAAAGACCTGCAATGCTCCAGGACCCATAGATAAGGTTACCACACATCTAGAAGTTCTTAGAACTGAGCCTCTACAGCCCCTTAAGGTACATAATAATCACCAATGTCGCTGGCAACCCAGCTGGAAACCTTGGATATAGACAGAATCTATTCTGGATACCAATGGGACGATGGGCTAACGTCAGGGGTCGGGACTCATGAATAGGGACGGAACTATAACCCCCTGTAGGAGCTGATGAAATTTAAGATTCCACTGACAACAGGGAGGAATGTAGAAGCCAAAATTTTAACCAAAATGCATGCTAACACTGGATCCAGCTCATCATCAATAAAGTTGGTGTTCTTGAGAGTCTACTAACAAAGTAAAGTGAAAAGAAACAAAATCTTGAACTTTAGAGTTGTAAGTCTGTAAAATTAGTCTTTCCCATCATTTATGTATTATTTGAGGATCGGAAAATGCCTCCACCTAGTAGTGGTAGGTTAAATCATGAAGTTTCGACAATGTGTCAGTTAAGGTCTTACTGTCCCTTCACCTAACTGAGAAGTAAACCTTCAAGCATGAACCACAGTATCCATGTATGAGGAAAAAAAAAACAACTAAAAATTGTTCCCAGACCTTTCAGCCATCACGTAAGATGCAGGCTCAAAAGCAACTGAGAAAAAGCCCAAAACATCACACACTCTACAAACCAACAGAAGAAAAACAAAAGCAGCTTATCCCAAAGTGGCCTCCTTTTCCTTTTTCATAGGTCATTTAAAGACTGTGTTGATTACCATTGATTGGAACAGTGTTTTGTGAAGTAAAGTTAATTTGTTAGAGCAAAGCAGCTTTGGGCCATCTGCCGCATACGCCCTAAGAAATCGAACCCCAGACCCCCAGTGCTGCAAGTCTGTCAATATTACACTGTCCCTCGGGGGGACTAAAAATCCAATTAATTAAAAGAAAGTACAGGAAAAAGCAAATCTAAAGTTTCTCCAAAATGTCAATTGCAGCCTCAGAGCCTCCTGGAGGATCATCAAAGATCCAAATATATGTCTCCATCTCACTAAGCATAAGATCACTGACAGTCTCAACCAAGAGTACCTCCCCACACACACACACACACACTGCATTATCAAAATTAATTAATATCAGTAAGCACTATCATATTATAACTGTACATAAAATTTGTCTTGTCCTCATATAATATCCTTCATTTTCATATATTAAAATTCAATACATAGATAACCATACTTATTGAAACTGTAATAAGGAAAAGACTAAATGATCAGAGAATCCAGCCCTATGGATAAATACCACACAAGAAAATGAAGGGACAACATTCCAGGGTGAAAGAGAAACATAGTTGAAGCAAGAGAATGTGTGGGAAAATGGCAGAGGAGGAGAGAGCCCAGATGCCAATCGACAAAGCAGAGGAAATCAAGGTAATGCCAGCAAAAGAGTGCCATGAAATGGACTGGACAAGAAATGTCACGTATCAAAGTGATGACACAAAAGAGAGAGAGAGAAGAGGAATAGGAAAATAAGCAAACAGAAAAAGGTGATACCAGTCCTGGCTGGGAGCTTTGAAGGATGAGAAACTGGGGACCTGAAGAAAGGAAGTCTAATGTGAAGAGTGGCACAGGCGTTGATGAGCCCAATTCAGTAAACCCAACAAAAAAACTGAGGGAGGAGAAACCAATCCAATGTTAGAACCCTGTCCAGCTGAGAGAGGTGGCCTGCCACCAAATTCAGAGCCCCTGGCACATGGCAAGCCATGAGTTGAGCTCAACAGGAATAATACCAAAATAGCAAGTCCAATATGTGAAAGCAAAGAGTGCTAGAACAAGTACTCCTCTCTCCCAATGGCTGTGGAATTGTCAGAGTAGATCATGACCAACTGATTCATTAGAAGAGGGAGGAAATGGGAGAATGCCCAACAGATGGAGAGAATTTCAATAACATTAAGGTACAGCCTATACATCCAATGTTGCATAGTTATTCAAATATGTATCCCTTCCCAGCCTCACAGAGCCATCTGCAAAGAAATGAACATGTTGTCAGTGGGCAGCAAGGGGATGCCCACTGTGGTGTTGGTAAGTTCAAGCCACCAAGACAAGTTCATAATAAGAGAAGGGAGGTGCACACTCAAAGACAAAAGATCCTTAGAAAGGTTTCACTGATCCTGCAATTTCAATTGGAAGGGTCACATGAGGGTGTGGCCTGAATAAATGATTGGTACAAGGGAAGCCAAATCCCTCCCCCCAAAAAAAACAACAAGTGCTCATAATAGAAAAGAGAACTACAAACTTTGGTAACAAGATATTCTATTATTTGTAAGCAAAATGGTGAATGAAGGCTAAGCCTGATTCAGATGAGTCCAGAGGTACTAAATATAGGATGAGCATGAGAAAAGACTTGGAAGGCTGTAAAAGCTAGCTCAGCCAAACAATCTCCTGCAGAAAAATGCAGGTGTGAAAAAAAAAAGAGTCCTCCTGAAGAGGGGTAAAGAAAAGCCAATTATCCATGTAATAGTGGAACCTCTGCCACAGTCTAAACAAGGCAGGCAAGACATACAAAACAGATGCTCTGCCAAAACGAAGAGCATGGAACAGGAATACCTGATCCTGATGGAAGAGATAAAGAAAATGTCTAGAGGACAGGGTGATCAGAACATGTAAAGGTGGTGATTATAGTTTAAATAAGATAGCTGACATGCGTTACCTTACACTTAACATAATTAAATGTCACCTGCCATTTCTAGACCTAGGAATCACATCTAATGATCCAAATCCTTTTGTAGAACAACAGCAGCATCCTCACAGTCAACTACATTCAAATCTTTAATATCATCAACAAACTTCACCAATATGTTGACAATTCACCTCTCAAGCCCTAGTTTACAGTTGCACTTACAGCACAGTTGATAGTTCTTGCAAACATGTCCACCTCTATTTAAGTGTAACCCATTCATTCCAAAAACCTTTTTATAACCAGCACATTGATTCTACAAATCCATTCAACTTATCTGTTCATTTTTACAAAGTGCCTTAAGCCTAATATTTAGCCCTGAAAACTACTTAGAATCTCATCCCCACAGTTAATGTATGGTAATACCCATGATAAAATAAAAATGTGCCTTTTCTTTAAATGCTTTTATCAGTCTTCTCTACTTCTTAGTTAATTCCTCTGACCTATCCTTCCCTATAATATTAGTCTCTACATCTATTACAAATACTGCATCAGTGCTAACACCCTTACTTATATCAGTTACCAGTTATGTTCTCTTCCCTTGCCCCCTGGATAACAATCTTTTCTTCATGTGTTTACCCCCACAGACAATTCTATCCATGTGCCACACTAAATAATCACCTATAACTATAGCATCCTTATGTTCTGCACTACCATCCTTATGTATCTCTTCTGATTTTCGTATCTCCCTTAGATCCTCAACTGTAGAAGCTAAAAGCTGAAACTTGTTACTTATCTCTATCACTAATACTGTTCCTAATTTCCTGAAACTTTGAAAGTTGTTTATAGCAAATGTATCTCTTGCATATAAAAGCTTAAGTTTCTCTAATTCCAGCTGCCATTTTCCACAGTTTACACTTCTCTACCTTCTCTATTTGAGATAACTTCCTTTTTTTCTCTAATCTATAAGCCATAAACAAGTTATATATATTCACCACCAGTTTCCATAAAATAAAAGTTTTCAAATAAAATCCAATCTTTGCTCCTATTGTACCCAATAAACTGTGAGCCCCTACACTGCTCTTAACAAACCAAATATCCTCCAAAACAACAAACTGATAGGTAACATGTAAAGTCAAAGTAAAATCTGAACAAAAGCATAACATATCAGTAAAAACTGAAATGTAAAATATTTCTAAAAACACTTAGACAAATTCATGGTGCAATTGCAGAGAATCAACAACACTGAATGTACAAAAAAAATCCACCATATGATACAAATACTGCTCTTAATACAAAAAAAGAACTTTAAAAACATCACAATATTACCATCAGAGATGGAACAAAGATCTACGATTGTGAGTAGTGGTTATTCTCAACTTGTAAAAACACATTAAAATAAATAATTAATGGCCAGAAAAGTATGAAAATAATTGCTGCAAAAGGAAACATAGCTTTGGACATCATAACATAATCTTGAGAAACAAAAATGAAAGAATATTTTTAGTTTTAGCAAGTACTGTATGATTCAAGTTATTGTTACTATACAGTATATTACTGTTAGTGTTTAACTGACCTGAATATGGTCCTACATTAAATTGAATTTGAAAGCTGCATTAACTTGTTAACACCATTACATTTTACAATATACATATACATTCTTTGATTTTAAATTTTAACTTAAAAGTTAAACGTGTAATGTAGTATTGTGAAATAAATCATACTGATAATTATTTTTTCAATAAATACTCTTACATCAAGATATATAATTATAAAAAGAAAAAAAAAAGACGGGAAAACTGGAAAGTCAAGATAGAAAATCGTATAATTAAATAATAAACTATGAGTAACATTAGCAGTATCACTCAGTTATCACACAAACCTGAATCGGTATACCAGCTTCCCGAGTGAGTTGCTCTACGGACTGATCTTTCAGCTGACATAACGGAACCAATTTTGCCGACTAATCGAATTTCCCGTTAGATAAAACACAAATATTGATTACTGTAGTTCTCACAATGTTGTGCTTCAACAGACTTAGAAGTAAAATAAAGTACTGTACTGCAATTTCTTCAAAGCAAAGGAAACATCAACCTCACAATTAAATTGTACTTGCTCCTCTTCTTTTGTTGTTCGTTGATTTTTCGACCGTATCGCCATCTATTAATAGTTTTGAAAATATAGGAAAAGGATATTATACGAATAATGTCCTTTTAAATTCTCCCCAGTGGGTCAGCGTTAAGTTTACAGACTTAAACATTAAACTCCGGGGTTTGATTCCATCTTGTGTACAGAGGGCAGATAGCCCATTGTGTAGGTTGCTCCACCTAGTTGATCAGCAGAAAGTTTACGGACTTACGACGCAAAAATCCAGGGTTCATTACCCGCGGCGAAGAGCACATAGCCCTTTTTTTTCACTCCAGTGGCTTAGCGGCAAGTCTAAGGACTTATAAAGCTAAAAATCTGGTTTAGATACCCACAACGGGCTGAGCACAAATAACCAATTTTGTATCTTTGTGTTTATTTGAGAACTCGAGAGTGGTATGTAATTTTAAGGAAGCTAGATGTGCATGGCCAGGTGGATAAGGCGCTCGATTCGCAATCTGAGGTTCGCGGGTTCGAATCCCCGTCCCTCTCAGCCGTGGGAGCGTTATAATGTGACGGTCAATCCCACTATTCGTTGGTAAAAGAGTATCCCAAGAGTTGGCGGTGGGTGATGATGACTAGCTGCCTTCCTTCTAGTCTTACACTGCTAAATTAGGGACGGCTAGCGCAGATAGCCCTCGTGTAGCTTTGTGCGAAATTCAAAACAAACAAACAAAAGCTACTTGTGCAATTTGTTTATAGAGTGCGCAAGTTGGAAGAAAAGCTGGAGGGTACCTTAACTAAAGTAGAGGCAATAGTTAAAGAGAAATGTAAATTGTTGGAAACAGCACAATGATTTCAAGAATAACTTAAGCTTTTACATACAAGGAATACATCAGCTAGCAATGACTTTCACGAAATTAGATAGAGTACTATTAGGACTAACATTAGTGGATTCGATTGTAACAAGCATGTTCTATTGAGCAACAGATTTCAGCCCTTGGCTTGTGCAGATTAGGAACTATTTGGCGGAAGGAAAACAAAAAGGGTAGAGGAGGATGTAAATGATAAACTTAAGAAAGATATAGTAATAGGTAACTCTTTGGCAAGGCATATGGATAAAATATTCTGTGATGTAAATAGTGAGAAAAGATTTAGATTATGCTATCCAGAGGCACGGATGGAAGATATAACTAACACAGTAAGAGACATAATAAAGGGGGCTAGCAATGATGCATTTTTGTTGTGCATGTAGGGCTAATGATGCAGGGAAAGGAACTAACTAATAAAGTACAAGGGGTTAGTAAAGGCATTTAGAGAAAAAGACCACAACTTAAATAACTTACGGATACTGCCGAGAATTAGCTGAATGAAATTATAAGTAGGTCACTAGGGCTAAATTTTAGGCTTGGGTTAGTATGTTACTTGCAAGGATGAGCAGATTCGCTGGTTGGACTTGTGAGATCAATTCAATGGGAGAAGGTAACTTTTTGGAATGGATGATTTGCATTCAAATAGGGTAGGGGCTGCCTTGTTTGCAAGGGCTGTAAGAGAAGTTTAAATTAGGAATAGGCTATGGTGATGCGGGACCGTCGTGTGACTATCCGAGAAATTGCGGAAGAGGTGGGCATCAGCACTTTTTCGGCACATTCCATTATGACCGAAGATTTGGCTATGAAGAGAGTGGCGGCGAAATTCGTGCCGAAGCTGCTTACGGCGGAAAGTCGGGGTCACTGTTTGTGGAGTCCAGCATGTCCTGTGAGACTTCAACACGAAGTTCCTTTTGCGTGATTATGGTGTTCATGTGGTGACAAGTCTTGGGTGTACGGGTACGACCCGGAAACCAAATCCCAGTTGTCACAGTGGAAGCATTCCACGTCACCAAGACCAAAGAAGGCCCGCCAAGTGTGCAGCAACGTCAAAGTGATGCTGACTGTTTTCTTTGACTCCCGCGGTGTGGTACACCATGAGTACGCACCACAGGGTCAAACAATCACCAAAGAGTACTACAGGGATGTCCTCCATCGCCTACGTGATGCTGTGTGGTGCAAGAGACCAGAATTGTGGTCAACAGGAAATTGGCGCCTCCATCACGACAATGCTCCAGCACATTCCTCGCACTTGATTCAGACTTTGTTGGCGAAAAACCAGACTCCTGTGGTTCAACAGGCTCCTTGCGACTTCTGGCTGTTCCCCAAACTCAAGAGGCCATTGAAAGGAATGCGATTTCAGACAAGAGAGGACATTATGGCTGAAACGACAGCCGAGCTAAACTCCATTTCGAAAGAGGCTTTCT